ATCTGGGGATCATCAGGGAGCATAGAGATGGTATTAGATACTGTGAAGAGAGGAGGCCAGCATTAGGGGAGTGAGGGTAGAGAGGAAGGAGGAAAGATCAACAACTGGGTGAGGTGCCCTGAGATTCAAAGAACCTAGAGAAATCATCAAGGGAGCCTGCAGAGGATCAGCCAAAGAGACAGCCACAAACCAGAAAGGAGTGCCTCCTGGAAACCAAGCAAAGGATATGTTTCGCGGATCAGATGATCAACTGTCATGACCCATCAGGCTCCTATGGTCCTGGTCTTGGTTAGCATAGGAAGGAACTAGGCGAGAGGCAAATTAGAAGTACAAGCTTGTGGAAGGCGGGCTAGCCCTTACTTTCCAGGTAGCCTCGAGCAAGCTCCACACTAGCCTTTTATTGAAACAGAATGATATAGGTGAGGGGAGCAATTAACAATGACTACTTGCTGAGGGCACGGGTTCCTTCTCTATAAAGAGCATCTGTGGACAAGTCGCCCAAGAGTCCACCCCTCAGCTGTAAATCATCTTGCTTAGAGGTCATTTGTCTCTTGGCATCCTCTACAATCAACTATGACCAATGTAGCTTTTAGACCAAGTAAGACAGGGACTGAGAATTGACCTTGGCTTCAGCAACATAGAGGTATTATATGCCCTTGAAAAAAGTGGTGGCAGAACAGTGGGGTGGGGGTGCTGCTGATCCTGGTTAGACTTGGTTTTAGAAGGATGACAACACAAGGAATTGGCATTTTCTAGCAAGGGATGACCACCTTCTCCAGGACATTTACCTTAAGTAATGACATCAACCTCAGAGAAGTAAGTTCCCACAAAAAGCATTTGAAAAGGTTTCACACTGCATTTTCTGCTAACTTTATGAGAAAAAGAGGACACAGAAATTAAACCCACAATTGTGGTGGGAAACATACTAACCTGGACACACTGACCTCATGGATACTGGCTTTGGTCTTATTTTCATACCTTGTTATGCTAGTAGAGTTACTGAAACAATATCTTTGAACTTGCCAATAAACTAATCCTAAACCTTCTTGCACAAATAAGCAAGCTTTACTCTAAGACGTTTTGCTGCCAGAAAATAAGTCTAAGTATAGACATCTGAATGCAATACAACCTCTTACTTGGCTTGATAATTTTTTTTTGGAAAAGTGAATCACTTTTTTCTTTTATGGCAGAAACTTTGTAGTTCCCTATTAAGAGGAGCAGTGACTAGCAGCAGGAGATTTCTGCTTGAAGAGGTATGTACACTCTTGGTTTCATTTTTTCCCTCTGAAGTACTGTGGGTTTCCCCTCCATTTGACTACTTATGGAAGAAGACCTCCTGAGTAGTATGAAATGACTTGGCAAAATCTTCATAAACAACAGAAAAACCCTGTTGTTCGGGGGGTTTTTAGCAATGATATCTGGACAATTTTTCTTCTGGGCTTCTAGAGGACTTTTCTTAATATTATTTTCTTTATGTGGAAGATAATCACATCCCCTTCCTAATTCTTTCATTCATGTGTGGCATTAAAAAGCTACTGGTGAGTAGGTCAAAGTTTATTTTAGCTAAAGTAGCATGGGGAAGAGGAAACACTATTAGACTTGGCATATTACAAAACTGGTTTCAAAAATAGATTCCCAAATCCTTAGACAAATTTAGTATATGAGCAAGGTAGCATCTCAAATAAGTGGGCAAAAGATTTTAGGAAGTAAATGGTGTTGGAGCAACTGGATTGTCCTGGAACATCTGGAAAAAGATCAAGTTGGCTTCATACCTCACATTGCGTACCAAGATAAACTTGATATCAATTGAAGTTTTCCAACTTAACAAAATAAATTATTAGAAGAAAACATGGATGAATTCCTTATGTCCTTGGATTCAGGAAGAACTTTCACACTTAAAAGTCTAGAATCCATTTAAAAAATCAATTATTCTAACTACTGAAAACATAAAAGTCTAAGTACCAAATCAAAAATAATCATATCAGCAAAATCAAACGACAGGGAAGAAAATAATTACAATTTATAGTACATAAGAAAAATGAAAATTAAAATGGCACTAAATAATCAGTCTAAACAATCATTACCAAAATTTGAAAAGTTAGGTGATACTAATTTGTTGACCAGTTTATGGGGAAACTGATAGTTACATTACAGGTGAAAGTGATTAATACAACTCTATAGAGAGAAATTTGGCAATTTGTATTTAATTCCAAATGCATTTATATTTGGCTCAACATTTTGCTTTGGGGAATCATTCTACAGAAGCATACCCATGAAATAATGTACATTCAACACTATTCATCCAATGTGAACCAGCAATACGTGGGTCCCTATGCAGGTTTTGAAGCACGCTGCATGATGGTCTGTTATTTCATTTCTAAGAAGCAGTTGACAGCGTCCTTTCTGATTCATCCATGTAAGTTTCCACTTTTTCAGCTTATCAGTGTCCCTGGGAGGGCTTCATCTGTTCCCGTTTGTGCAGATTTTATATTTCTTGATTTTTGTGTATTTCAAAACTTTTGTAATGACCCATCTATGTACTGTGGGGCATCCACTCAAAGAGCACTATGCAGCCCTAAAAATCGGGGAGAAAGCTAAGTATGGACATGAAAAACTCTCCAGGATATCCTGCCAACTGAATTTTTAAAAAAATTAATAAAATAAGAAATATATATGTGTATCTGTATATGTGTGTGTATATATATATACATATCTTTTTGTTTATAATGGGAGTGACAGGAGTGGACAAAGTCTGGAAAAAGGTTAATGTTACAGTTTGGGTTTTTGAATTGTATAGATGTATAAATAATTCAATTCTTAAAATTGAATAAAATAGAAGACAAATCCTGATTCACTTTTAGACTGTGTAACCTTGGCCAGTAACTTAACCATCCTAGGCTTGGTTTTTTCATTTCTGAACTTGGAAAAACTAAATTTTGCTTATTTCATGTTTCTTAAAAAATTATATAATATGTGGAAATGTTTTTAAACTATTACTTGAGATTAAAGAAGAACATACATATTATCATTTATTTGTATTTATTTATTTTTTTTTTTTTTTGAGAAAGATTCTCCCTCTGTCACCCTGAGTAGAGTACCATGGCATCATAGCTCACAGCAACCTCAAACTCTTGGACTTCAGGGATCTTCTTGCCTCAGCCCCCTCAGTAGCTGGAACTACAGACACCCACCACAATGCCTGCTATTTTTCTATTTTTAGTAGAGATGGGGGTCTCATTCTTTTCTTGTCTTTTCTTTTTCATTAAATCATCGCTATGTACATTAATGCAGTCATGGGGTACAATGTGCTGGTTTTATATACAATTTGAAATATTTTCATCAAACTGGTTAAGTCTTCATGGCATTTTCTTAGTTATTGTGTTAAGACATTTATATTCTACATTTAGTAAGTTTCACACATACCCTTGTAAGATGCATCGTAGGTGTGGTCCCACCAATTACCCTCCCTCCACCCATCTTCTCCCCTCCCCTCCCTTTCCCCATATTCTTGGGCTATAATTGGGCTATAGCTTTCCTATGAAAGCTATAAATTAGTTTCATAATAGGACTGAGTACATTGGATACTTTTTCTTCCATTCTTGAGATGCTTTGCTAAGAAGATGTTCCAGCTCCACCCATGTAAACATGAAGGAGGTAAAGTCTCCATCTTTCTTTAAGGATGCATAATATTCCATGGTGTACATATACCACAATTTATTGATTCATTCGTGGGTCGTTGGGGGTCTCCTTCTTGCTCAAGCTGGTCTTGAACTCCTGAGTTCAAGCAATCCATGTGCCTCTGCCTCCCAGAGTGGTAGGATTACAGGCATGAGCCACTACACCCAGACTGTATTTTTCTTAAGATGACTTTCTCGTAGGTAACAATCTAATCAAGCAAATATATGAATACAAAACCTCTTCAGAGTAAGTTCTTCATTCATTCTTCATTCATTCTTCTCAAAGCCTGTTTCACCCATAAACGCATTTCTGCAGGCCTGGAAATATAGATCATTAGAGAACAGAAGGTGGGAGGGAATGAGTTGACTCTGGAATGACAGCACCTCCAGACAGACCCCACGGGTGTGTCGCTCAGCTGCTTCTTCCTTTCCCAGGCCACCACGTGGCTGGGGCATCCTCTGGCCCCTACCCTGCTGCCACCCGGGGAATCCACTGCTACCCATGGTAGCAGCACTTTCTTACTTCTGTCCATGACTTTGGCCTACTCCGCTGTCTCCTCCTCCACTGAATATGGTCTTCTGACCTCCCCACTCTGAGGACGGCAGCCAGGCACAGGTGCCAGAAACAGGCCACAGGCATAGCTCCTCGGATTCACTTCCCAAACACCCCTTCCTCCACAGCACGGAGCTGCAGCTTCTCCTCCGTCAGTGCTCCCCTGTATCTTGTGCAGAGTGGAACCCCTCCTAGGAAGCTCAGACCACAGGACCAGACAGTCCTCTACTTATTTCTTGCTCGTCCCTGAATAGCGTGACTTTTCCATCAGGCTTCTGCACTGGCTCTCAGGAGAGAGCAATATCTACCACTCTCCCACCCTTATCTCTGGTCAGCTGGGGCTTCCTTCCCTTCCTCCCACATGTGGGTACTCAGATCTCCCGAGATGAACCCATGGCTCCCTATTCTTGTCCAACATGTGTCCCCAGCCTGTAAAGTTTTCTCTACAAACACACCTCTCAATTCCAGTAAATTCTCCACTTAAAAAGAGTGACTCTGGGGCAACGACAGCACTGAATATCTTCCAAAGATCACTACAGTTACAATTCTAGAAGTGTAATCTCCAGTCACCTGATTTTTCAAAAGACAAAAATTTCCCCTAAAAATATTTTTATGTTAATTGACTTTAAGTCTGTCATATCACACTCTGAGACACATTATTAGCAAAGTGGCAATGCCCTTCAAGTTTCAGCACATATGCTACTATATGACCTGCCTAGACATGGAATTAATGAGAGGAAGAAAAAAATATTCATTAAAAAAAAAACTCTGTGCTTGCTTCAGCAGTACATAACTAAAACTGGAATGATACAGAGAAGATTAGTATGGCCGCTGAACAAGGAGAACACACAAATTCATGAAGTGTTCCATATTTTTAAGAGATAAACTCAATTCAATTCAAGTTGGGAGGACAGGGGAGGAGGAGGAGGGATTGTTGTATTCCCACCTAACGGGTATAATGTAAGAGCACATGGCACTCCTCCTGGGTGCAGGACACAACAACTACAGCAGAACTTTACTGAACAAATGCAAACATTGTAACCTAATCATCTGTACCCTCATATTAAACTGAAATTTAAAAAAAAAAATCAAACCAAAAGCAGAAAATTTTAATGTCAAAAGTATTCAGGTCAATCTCCAAAGGGAAGTATTTATAAACAGCAGAATTTATAGAAATAAGTATATTACTTTGGTGAATCCTATCTTAAAAAGAAGCACATATATTTTACTAGACCTCCAAAGGAAAGTGTAAGCTGCGTCTCTCACACCAGTGGAATGTGCTGTCCCCGCAAGGCTTCCAGGTTCAGCAATTCATACATGTGCCGCAATCTGTTAAATTACTTGTTACTCCTCTTGAGCTCAGTTTGGAAGAAATGTTACATGTTTCTCATGGATACCCAAAGTTCCCACAAAGAACTGAGGCCGTAGAATTACAGTGGTTTCACTCTGAAGTTTCAATGACTTCCAAAGAATGTTTCTAGGTTACACTAGAGATTGTTTGTTCTAAACACTTCCTTATGCATCCGCCTTCCACTTAGCTGAAAAGATCTCTTTCCTGACTGGCAGCCATTGCTGAAGTGTTAACCTGTCTGTCCCTGGACTGCTTCCTGGATGCCATGTCCTGTAACCCTGTGTTCTGACTTTAGCATGACAGCTCTTCTTATGGTTTGGGCTAAATCTCTTGCAATTACCCAACAAAACCAGCAGACTTTTGGCCCCTGGCTCTTACTCTACACCTGTGCTACTGGCTGCCAGCCTTGTGACAGGTTGCTCTATCTTTTCTATTAGGTAAGAGGTCCCCAGGAAGTCTTGTTCTATGCAGAGGGGCAATAGAGTGACTGTGGCATCTTCTTACCAAGAAAGCGAATGTTGCTGCCATTACCTCCAATTTCCTATTCAAGATTCCAAAACGGGTCCATTTTCCACAAATAGCCATGCCATGCTGAGGATAATTCAGTCCATGCCTTTGTAGGTACATTAAATTCATGCCATTGTAGATATTAGGAACCCAAAATATAGGTGAAGGAAGGGCTCATGGTTTATGTATAGTCTAGGAAAGGCAGTCATCCAATAAAAATAATATAGAATAAATGTTTCCTAAGTTTACTGGAGTAATTTTGGGGACGTGAAAAATTCAATTATAAACAAGATAAATTTTTAAAAAATCACAATATTCTAGAGTTGTAGGGTCTACGTCCCTTTATTCTGTAACTGTAGCTTAAAGATTTGTCCCAGGCTATATTCATGGTCAACTGGAAGCTGGTTGACCCATTTCCATGATATTTTCAACACACTTTTCATAATTTGTATCTGAAAAAACAGGTTCCAAATTAAGATTTCAATATCCAACCACCAGAATCAAATTTTATTTTTCACTTTGAATCTTTAACTCCAAAATTTATTTGGTAGATTTTTTTCCTTTCTTTTCTTCAATTTCATACCTGACTTTCATTAAAACAATTTTTTTCCCACCTCTTGATAGGATTATCTGACACCCATTATGTATAAGGGAGTTGGAGATCTTCCGAATAAATTCCTACATGACAAACCACATAAAACATGACTATAAATAATCATGGCCAGAAAAGCCAGAATACGTGCCCAGGGCCTAAGACAGTTAAACGAAATTAGACAGACGATACCAATGGTGCCAGGCAAGGGCAAAAGGCACCAGGGTCTGCTATTCTATTCACATCCCTCTATATCTGGCACATGGGGGATGGCAGAGTCTGTGACAGGCAGGATGGTGACTCTATTTTCATCCATCGGTAATATACCTGTAATTTCCCACCTGATTTGATGCCTATTAAAGAACATTAATGAATTCATGGACTCTGCCTGTATTTCCAGAGACCTGGGTTCAAACCCTACTCTGACCCTTAACTGCTGCATGCTTTTAGGGAAGGCTCTTAATTGCTCCAAACTTGGATTTCTCCCTTTGTGACAAGGGAGTAACCATACCTTCCTCCCAGGGATTATTGTGAGGTTGAAATGAGACAGCACCAGCGGAACGCCTGGTATTCATAGAGGCCCGATTAGTGCAGTTTTCTTTTGTTTTGATAAAGTACGACTGTATTAATAAACAGGAGGGAATGTGCAAACAGTACAGAGTAAGTCAGAGTTCTCGTTTGGTTTCTTTGCAGGCTAGTGATGTTTAAAAATCCTTTCCAAGAATACTATAAATTCCCCCAAACTCCAAGCATAGTGGAATTCCTCCTAAAGCCATTTGAAAGTTCATCGGGTTTGAGAAACTATATCTTGGGACACCATGTTTGATACGAGAGCCTGGTGAAGGAATTTCTGGCCTGGTTCATTTTCTGACCCCCTGAGATTTGTCTTTTTTTCCTTGTCTCTCTTCCCTCTTTTCCTGCCTTCTAAAAATTTTTTCTCCTTCTTCTTTCGGCCCTGATCCATTTTATCTTTTGAATGACAACATGTACTGTCTGTCCTGCAACAGGTTCAGTAAGAAGTGAAGCAGGATGAGAACCCAAAGAAGAGAATCTCATCCTCACACACACACTGCTACCCCTCCCAGGCACAAAGCATGTCCTGCCCTTCAGTAACCTTTGTCGTGACCCTGCTTTCCTTTCTGGCTGCATGGGTCATCGGTCCAGGGAAAGGGTGAAAGGTCCCGGGGTGGAGCCACACTAATTGCACTAGGAAATCTCCCAGTAATGCAAGAACATTGGGGAAAAAACAAGAAGGAAAAAATAGATGCACGAAAAGAAACTGCTGCCAAAAAATTGCTATTGAATCCCATTGGATTTATTTAGAGCATCTTGCCTTGAATATAAATATGAAACCAAACAAACCTCTAAGCCAGCCTGTTTAGACCAAGTTGACATTTCAATGGAAACTAAAGCTGTGGCCTTGTGATTCCAAGATAGTTGGATAAAAAGTGAAAAAACTGCATCAATAAACAAATATCTGTTAAGCCTATTACTCAAGTCCAGATCTGTGCACAGGCCCTGATGAAAGGATAAGAGAAGTTGAACAAGAGACTTTCCCTTCAAGGAGCTTGAAATATGGCAGCAGAGATTAATAATGATAATAACATCCTGACTAAAATATCTGCACCATCTTACATAAGCTGATCACTGCCTCATTATTTTTCTTTATGGTCCTTAACAGCTATCTCTACCTATTATCCATCCATCTATCCATTTGTCCATCCATGTATCCATCCATATCTACATCTCTATCTTTCCCTCTATCTATCTATATCTATCCATCAAGAAAGAGATAGTTTATTTTCGTAATTATTTGCTTTTCCGTCTAGAATCTAAGCTCCTCAAGAAAGAGGGCTTGGCTTTCTTCACTGCTATATCCTTTGTCCAAGAATTGAATATGACATATAGTTGACATAAAGTGTTTTTTTTCAATAAAATAATGGCTTAAAACACTAAGATATTAACAAGAGAAATAAGAACATCTTCCTGGAGAAAGACTTCTGCTGCTGGACCAGGAAGGACAGAATTTGGAAGCCTAAGAGAAAGGTATGAGCTCAGTAGATGCTGGGGTGGGAGTAGCATCCAGGAAATGTGGGGAAAATATTCCCACTCTCTCTAAAAGAATGTGTAGGACACCATGAATTTAGGTAGATAAAATATTACAATTATTTTCTCAGTTCTCAGATGTTAACATCATTCAAACAGGCCTTCAGAAGCCTGTAACCGAGGGCCTTCATTCTAGGAACAGATATTCAGAATAAATAACTCAGACTGTGGGGAGTTTGGAAGAGAAGAAGCTACTGCAGATATCGACCTTGTTCTTTGGTTTCTAGTTTGGTCTCTGAAGTCTTGGGTCCTTCCTATATGATGGAGCACTTGCAAAGGTACTGAATGTCGATTCCTTTCCCTTCTTTTCACTAAAAACAGTCATGCTTAGTTGGTAAAAAAACGGTGAAGCTAGAGATCCTGTCTCCTGTGTGTTCTGTAGCCCACACAACCTCCCACCTCCATGAGGTCACAGACCCATTTTTGGCTGATGACTAGAGAGTTTAGAAACCTTAGCAGAGAGTTAATTCCAAAGGTAGCTGCTGCTCAGTGCTGAAGAAATCTGTGAGTTTATTAAAGAACCCAAGATTAGAATCTAAGGGTCATAGTCATTTCTTATTTAAGCAAGAGATCTCAGAAATAAAGTGCTCATATTATTTCCATTTTGCAACATGCTGGATGCTCTATTAGTTATACATGTGTAAAGTGTCTAGCTATGTGTACCCATCACTATTATAGGCAGTAAGACCTAGGTTTAGTTTGAGCTATATTAAACGTCTGTAACAGCAATGGTGGCTTGGGTAATGGTGGACTATACATAGAAATAAAGTTCAGTTAATCCTAACCTCGGATCATTTAAGCCTATTATAGACGACACACACCTTCATAGCTCTCTTTTGACTCAAATAGTTTGACGTTAATTCTGGAAGGGCAGTTATTTTTATATAAATAAATATTTGTTTGGCAGTAGAAATTATCATACTGATAAAAATACAGTGGCATTCTATGACCTCTCATTTCTCCTTTTGAGCTTCTCTTTTTTCCTGCTATTTCTTAATCCAATGGTATATACTTGCCCTGAATTATTCTCACACTGTACAATTTTCCTGGTGGCTCTGGGTCAATTTACCTACAGACAATTAGCCAATACAAGATTAGCCAAAAGGCAATTTCCTAAATGGCTTTTTTTCCAAAGGCAATTCCCTGAAATGGATAGCTTTCTGCAAATTGCCCTTTGATAAAATGGCCCATGTTCCTCCCTTGATGATAGACCTTATCTACTCAGAAGGCTGAAAAACTATGTATACTCATATCTCCCACATCTGTATCCCTTAAATATTCAACCTGTGTGGTCCATAGACACTCCATACTTAGCATGTC